CAACCCCAGGACTGGGGTGACCATGGGGCTGGGACCAGCTCTTTCCCTGCACCCCAGGACTGGGGTGACCATGGGGCTGGGACCAACCCCCTCTCCACACCCCACGACTGAGGTGACCATGGGGCTGGAACCAACCCTCTCTCCACACCCTGATGCCAGGGTGGCTGTGGGGCTCCTGTGGCAGCTCCCACCTGGCTCTGTGCCCACAGGCAACGGGTGAGAAGGAGGAGATGGAGGAGCTCCAGGCCTACAACCGGCGGCTGCTGCACAACATCCTGCCCAAGGACGTGGCCGCGCACTTTCTGGCCCGGGAGCGGCGCAATGATGAGCTCTACTACCAGTCCTGCGAGTGCGTGGCCGTCATGTTCGCCTCCATCAGCAACTTCTCCGAGTTCTACGTGGAGCTGGAGGCCAACAACGAGGGGGTGGAGTGTCTGCGGCTGCTCAACGAGATCATCGCCGACTTCGATGAGGTGCTGGGGCGAGGGGGTGCATGGGGGTGAAGGGCACAGGGATGGGGTGCAAAATGGGGTTCATGGGGTGCTGGAGAGGCTGTGGAGCAGTGAGGATGAGGTACAGGATGTACTTCATCCCTGGAGAAGCCATGGAGCAGCTTTCATGGAGCCACAGGAGTGGGTGCAGGGTGTGCTGGAGAAGCTGTGGAGCAGCGTGGATGGAGGGCACAAGGATGAGGTGCAGGAAGATGGGGTGGTGGAGAGGCTGTGGAACACCAGGTTTGGGGACAGGGTGCAGGAGATGGTGGGCACAGGGTGCTGGAGAAGCTGTGGAGCACCATGGATGAGGTTGGGGTGCAGGAGTTTTAACAGCCACAGATTGCAGAAGAGGCTGTGGAGCACCATGGATGAGGTGCAAGATGGGATGCACAAGATATGGAGAGCCTGCAGAACACCATATTTGAGACAGGATGCAGGGGGTAGTGGAGAGGTTGTGGAGAACCATGGAGGAGGTTGGGGTGCAGGGGATGTGGTCATGGGGTGCTGGA